AAAAGAAAAGAAAGTCTTAATGTAAGATTTTTGTGTATATATCCATGAGTGAAGTAGGTTTATAATTTTTCTTTTAACAAAGTTTTTGTTGCTCTCATAAAATCTTTTGGGAATATTACTTTGTTGTTACACTTTAAAAGAATTCAGTAGTATAGGAATATGGGCCTGGGAAATTTTTGGTGGGAAACATTTTAAATAATAAATTTACTTTTTAAAAACTGATACAAGTTTTGTGACTTTTTGCTGGTTGCTATTTTGTTTTGTAAAGATACTTTGCATTTTATATTAATTATCAAATTTCTTGTCAAAGGTTTTCTTTTTATATTTTTTCATGTAAGAACGATGCATCATTTGCTATTTTTAATTTCTAGGTGAGTTTGAGAACTTCATACATCAGCACTGTATACACAGTACTCCTGGCTCCCATCCTTCCCAGCAGTTCTTCACAAATTCATGATGTCTTCTTTAATTGTTATATGCACACTACATGCACACACATGTGTATGTACTACTTACTGAGTCCATTTAACATTGCTCAGATGTACATGTGTCCAGGGTTGACTTCTTGGATTAGACAACCTATACAAGAGCTCATCCCAGGAGAAAATGGATTCTTCCTCTCCCAGTAGCCACACACTATCTGTAGCTCTTAACTTAGAGGCTTTTCCCATCTACTTTGATATGTCAGCTGGTATCGTCATTGTGCTTGTCTTCTTCAGGGAAGCATATTGTTTAGTTTTATGGATGCAGATCCTGTTGTGTCTAGTGGGCACAGTCTTGCAGCAGTTGTCTTGTTCCTCTGACTCTTACGGTCTTTCTGTTTCCTTCTCTGTGATTATCCCTGAGGCTTGGGGATAGCGGGTTGCCTAATGGCTGTATCAGTTGGGGTTGGCTACCACAGTCACCTCTTGTCTGCAGTTGTGGCTCTTTGTATGAGTCTCCATCTGCTATAAAGAGATGCTTCATGGATGAGGTGTGAGAACTACACATTTCAGTCTAGGCCTGTACATATGCTGCATGACCAGAGCTAGGCCTGGGAGTTGGGGTTTTAATTCTTATGCTTTAGTTTTGCATTTGTATTTTTAAATAACTGTCTTTTGACTTTGATTGAATGCATTTTCCTGATTTTAAAAATAAAGACATTAAGAATAGTTGGACTAGCCGGGCGGTGGTGGCGCACGCCTTTAATCCCAGCACTCGGGAGGCAGAGCCAGGCGGATCTCTGTGAGTTCGAGGCCAGCCTGGGCTACCAAGTG